ACATTAGTACCTGTTCTTACTACCTACTTCTACACTAGTACCTGTTTTTACTACCTACTTCTACACTAGTACCTGTTTTTACTACCTACTAATACACTAGTACCTGTTTTTACTACCTACTTCTACACTAGTACCTGTTTTTAATACCTACTAATACACTAGTACCTGTTTTTATTACCTACTTTTACACTAGTACCTGTTTTTTCTACCTACTTCTACACTAGTACCTGTTTTTACTACCTACTAATACACTAGTACCTGTTTTTATTACCTACTTTTACACTAGTACCTGTTTTTACTACCTACTTCTACACTAGTACCTGTTTTTAAAACCTACTAATACACTAGAATCTCTCTATTCGTTCAAGTAAAGCAAAATACTTTTCTTCAGATCCCAAGATCGTTCATCTTTTCACAGAATCTTTAAATAACTAAAATCTAACCCTAACATCTCGTTTCATTTTAATATTCATAAATCTACATTGAAGAATATATCTGTTTACGTTTTGTTTTTTATCCATAATAGTTTATTCTTTCAATAATTTCAAACTGTTTAAATAATTATATATAGGAATTAATGTTACTAGGTGACAGAATACAACAGTTGCTTGCTAAATACGTTAAAATATACTTAAAGTGTGTGCTTGTTGTTTAGTAAGGTTTCGTTCGAAAACCCTTTAAACCTAACTCGGTAAACTAGAGTTACGCCGCCATTAAAGTAAGATCTATTGAAATTAAATCTTTATTTAATAATTTCTAATTGAATGGTGCTAACGAAAAGTAATTAAGTACAGTGATTGAAACTGAGTAAAACGTTATTTGGGTACAATCTCCGGTATAATGTACACAGACTCAATAACAACAGTGAAACACAGTGCGTCGCATCTAAAACTGTAACATAACTCATTGAAACACGAAAACAGTATGGATGTTATCTGGTAATTTAGAGCAGTTTAAGATGTTATTTCATATAACCACGTTACCAACGTTTTCGGTTACAATGGATGAAAATAGCACGTTTCTATTTTCTGTCTTCGAGGTTTTAGATGATCAAGAAGCGCTTCATAACTATTTCATTGAACTAAACCTCGCGCCAAAAACATGAAGGTGGAAACTAAACTTAATATAAAGCAGGGTTGAAAATTAACTAAACACAGTAAGATGGAACACAAGCTTAATATAAAGCAGGGTTGAAAACTAACTAAACACATTAAGATGGAACACAAGCTTGATATAAAGCAGGGTTGGAGACTAACCAAACACAATAAGATGGAACACAAGCTTGATATAAAGCAGGGTTGAAAATTAACTAAACACAGTAAGATGGAACACAAGCTTAATATAAAGCAGGGTTGAAAACTAACTAAACACATTAAGATGGAACACAAGCTTAATATAAAGCAGGGTTGAAAACTAACTAAACACATTAAGATGGAACACAAGCTTAATATAAAGCAGGGTTGAAAACTAACTAAACACATTAAGATGGAACACAAGCTTAATATAAAGCAGGGTT